ATTTTTTTCCCCATTTTGTCTCTCATAGTTGAGGTATACCTATGATGGAAATTACAGGCCTTTCTCATCTTGTTAAGTGGGAGAACCTGCACAATTGGTGGCTGACTAAATACTTTTTTGCCCCACTTTGTATTGTAAACAAGACTGTCTGGGCTGAGAAACAAAATGATTTGCAGCAAATGTTAGGATGCATTATATCATGCAACTAGGAATATAGATTTGAAAATCAGTGTATGAAAATCCAAGGTAGTTGTATTTGATAGGAAAAAATAGAATGAAAGATTACAAGTTATACATGATTTAATGAATGAATAAATTAATTATTTTATTGCTGTCTTGGATTATATCAGAAAAAAATTAGAGTACCAAAACTACAATGTGACAATTACTTAACCATCTGTAAGCAAAGTTTACACACAATGTAACTTTGTAATGTTTAGGGAAATAAAATTAAAGTTATTGTGTAATAAATTGTGCAAGTAAAACATAGCAGAATGACCCAGAAATTTAGACAAAAGAATGGTGATCGACTGATTTTCTTTGCGCCAAACAGCTTTACTTGAAGATTTTATATTTATAGTTTCAATTTCTAAGGCAACCTGCTAGTCAACAACTCTAGGTGGCTTACAAGGGGTTAAAGCAGAAGGGGTTGAAAAAGCAGAAAGGTATACACAAATCCCACCATAAAAGCCAAGGCTGCAAAGAAGTTATTTCAGATTTAAGACTGAGAGGAGATAGAGCAACTAACCTTTGACTTGTAGTCAATGTCATCCATCGATCGAAAAAAGTCCAGACTTTTTGCCCCTGAGAGCTTCCCTTGATCAGAACTATGTGTACTCAGTGTATCCAAAATCTCTCCCAGCAGGTCCATTTCTCCAGGAGGAACAGACGTTTTGGCCAATTCCCCAGAGTCATCACTGTCATACAAATAGTAAGATGTTTCCTCACTGTCTTCAGATGACAATCTAAAGAAAAATATAGTCTCTTCACTACTATGACCATGACAATTAATCTAAATGTTCATGAAGCTCTGGCTTGCAGTTATTACAAAGAACTATTTTGGCAAAATAAACCTCTTAGCCCTTGCATTTATTATTAAAATGCATAATTATTTAGCTTTGTGGCTTTGGTCAGTAGCAGTGAGAAATAGCAAATTGTGAAATTCTCTTTTCCAATAACCTAGAAGGGTGGTGGTAGAGATAAATTAAACCCATTTTTGTCCTCAGGTAGGGATGGAAAGCAAGGAAATGCTGCAGGCAGATTTTTTTTTTTAAAAGTGTATACCTATAATGCATTGTGACAGTACTTTAGTGCATAGGCTTTTTGTGTGTGAAAATCTCACTTCAGAAAACAGATCAAGAATGAGCTCTTTCAAAACCTTGTATTTGCAAGTACTGTTCGAGAGAATTTTCAAATCCATGACAATAGGATTGACTTCAGTATGATCTATCTTTCATTACCATTTCCTAAGCTTTTGATAGTTGAAATGTACTTTATTCTGAATTTAAGAACTGGAGGCATATTACATTATTATCGAATATAGTTTTAATAAGTTACCCAGACTTGAAAGAGATGTGACCTTTGTTTCTTTTTGAACTTCTACTGTTACTTTATAATTTATAATTTAAAAAAAAGTCAAGCACTAGCCTGCAGAGGCAAGGGTTGAGAACTGCTACATCATTGCCTTGAGAGCAATACTCTGAATCCATTGAGTCAATCATTCCTGTATAAAAATGTATAGCAGCACGTTTCAACCAGGGTGCCCTCCAGATGTGTGGACTTCACTTCCCAAAGCCAGCATGACCATTGCTGACAAGCTGGATTTAAAATCCACACATCTGGAGGAAGCCAAACTGATTAAGGCTGGTATACAGGATTGCATCTAACTATACTTAGTGCAGACATGTAGGAACAGCAAAAATAGCACTAATCAGGAAATCATACACAGATGCAGTGGAAAGCCTTTTTTCGGTATATTGTTTGCACTCCTAGGAATAATTTTATTTTATTTTTTACAGAACACCAGCAGTTTTTTCCCCCAAAAAAGTGCCCTTGGATACAGGTTTTGAATTCCTGGTTGATGGTCTGCCTGTAATTCCTCCTTTTTATTATTAAGGTTCATCACATTACTTTTTCCTGCATACATCGTATTGTTCTACTTTACCTTTCAGTCTACCAGTTACTTTCTATACTCCCATCTGCAAGTTAATCAGCACTTCCAATATTTTCTTTATTTTCTGTCTTTTTACAACAAGCGGTATCGCTACTAAGCCTGTTTTTCCCTTTCCATCAACAATTTGTTCTGCTTTCTCCATAATTTAAGGTACTGCTCAGGATTCTTCTGACTTCTACCCTGCTTCTGAATGGCACTCAACACCAATCTAAGGTTTTCCACCATTTGTGTAATATTTGCTTTGCTGGTTGTGTAGAGTTCTCTCTAAAATTCTCAACTGGTTTTACCAATTGGTCTTAGATTTATAATTCTGTCAACAGAGCACAGCTCAAATCACACATAAATTAACTTACTTGCAGAATTTTGTGAAGGGGAATGTAAAATAAGTCAAGAGAAGATTTGGTAGCAGAAGGATACAGTTGTCAGCCTTACCAGGTAGGCCAGACAAGAAAGAATCTAAGAATGTAAAGAAGATGGGGATAGAATCCTATTTTCAGACATGCAAGATTCTGTTAATATATCCCCATCTCCTTTACACTCCGAGAATTTAGGGAGGGTCTCTTCTGACCTTGTTGCCCTGCCCACTATCCAGCTGTGGACTATGCTGTCTCTTATCTGACCATTCCTTAGGCAGCGTCTCTGGGCCCAGTCTCCCAGGGACTGGGAGTCATTCCCACACACAATTACAATGGTTTACATATGTACAATTATCAGAAAAAATTAAGGTAGATAAAAAATTTGTTGGTTTTGAGCAATACAAGACTGAGTTTGAAATAGAACTGTGTACAAATGATGAACATGTTATTGCTAAAATGTATAAACTTCCACTGAGATTTGAGACAGAAGAAGAACAAGTGAACAAATGTATGTTAAAGTGGGCTAAACACTTTGGCTATAATATTCAGATGGAACAATGTGAGAATATGTGGCTGAAAAGACTGAAATTTACACTACGTTATAATCTGAAAGAGAATTTTTATAAAATGATGTATCGTTGGTATATACCACCGGAAAAACTGTCTAGAATGTATAAAGGTACTTCAAATTTATGTTTGACACACGAACAACAAGAAGGGACTTTTTATCATGCTTAGTGGATGTGTAAAAAAGCCAGAAAGTTTTGGATTCAAATACACACACTGATTCCGAAGATTTTAAAGATTAATATACAATTGAAACCAGAGGCCTTTCTTTTGGGACTGATTGATAAACAATTGGAAAAAAGTCATGGAACTTTGTTTTTATGCACGGTAACTGCAGCGAGATTATTATATGCACAGAGGTGGAAAGATCCAACATTACCCACAATGGAGGAATGGATGGTGGAGTTGATGGAACTTGCAGAGATGGCCAAATTGACATCTTTTAGAGAAAAGACATTATCTAAATTTACGACTGACTGGAAATCCTTTATAGACATTTTGCATGAAACAGAAAAAGATGAACTTATGACTTATGGTTTTGATGATTAAAAAAACAGATTATAGAAAAAAATGGAAACCATGAGGTAACCATAGGGTAAGAGGTAAATTTATACCTATACTTGTAGCTGTTGTAAAGAGGCTACTTTTTTATACTTTTTTTTTTCTTTTCTGCACTTTCGGCTTTGTTCTATTTCCTTTCCTTTCCTTTCTTCTTTCTTTCTTCTTTATATTAGTTTGTTAGTTTTTATCTTTCTTTATAAAAAAATTGATAAAGTTATATATATATATATATATAAAATTAATTAACTTACTTGCTTCCTTGGTCTAGTTCATCATCAGCATCTTCATCCAAGGCAGAGTCATTATTACGCATATTGGTTTGGACATGCGCAAAGCGTGTCTGAAAGGGGAAACATTATCTTAGTTGGGGAGGGGTTGGAGTTCATGGTCAATCTTCACACAGCCTGCCAAAGATCCTGATAGTGCTCTTCCTAAGCAAGACTGCCTAGCAATTCTAATCAACTGACTGACAGATGCTGTTAACCATGTGAAGCAAGCAGATTTACTGCCAAACTGACTAAGGTTAGAGTAATTCACATGACAATTCTTCCAACTATGAAAAGCAATATACAGTGCATTCAGAAAGTATTCAGACCCCCTTCACTTTTTTCAATTTTGTTATCTTGCAGCCTGATACTACAATTGTTCAAATTCATTTTTTTCCCTCATTAATCGACACTCAGTACCCCATAATG